CACTCACACACACACACACACACACTCACACACACACACACACACACACACTATTAGGAAGGATGACCTCCACTCTGTTTAACTACTATCAATCTGTTTCATTTCCTTTACCATGTTCTTCAGTCCACTTTAACATGGCATATATTTTCATCCATATTTTAGTGACTCACCATTCTATCCATGACTCAGTCCATAAATGAAGATCTCATTTAGTGCTTTCAACAAAGCCAAAAAGTGAAGAAAACTTAATTTTGAACAAAAGCCATTTTGAACAAAGAATCCACAATGAGTCAACCTGATATTGACATATTGTGGAATATAGTGGAAAAAAAACGTTCCCTCTGGCTTAAAGTCTACAATGAGAGTAGCAAGGATATTTTGCAGCTGAAGGGCCAGAAAAAAGGCTGCTTAGATCCTCAAGATACACCTTGCTTGTTCATTTTCCACTTCAGTTACTCCATGAACACATCAAAGAGCTAAGACTGGAGTGTGAGATTCTGATACTACATTCAGTGGACATCACACAATGCTACGCACTATAATGTGCAGCAGACATCATGTTGTTTCAGTCTAATTAAAGGCAATACCCCCTACAGGTTTTGTTGTAGCAACTTGGCATGGAGAAGTAACTGTATTTCTGAGTAGATTGCAAACTTTGGACCACAACATTGGCCTTGTCGCATGGACATCTGACGTCTTCATACTCAGATTTCTGACTCACCCAGGACCTCAGATTTAGCAGAGTGAGATTGAGACAGATGCAGTAATGTACAACCCCGTTGATGTGGAATTATTTTAACACGAGCGAAAACAATGTTAGAAATGCATTTTGCAAACACCGCTCTGCTAAAATTTCACAAGGAAGGATCTACTAATAAACATTTTGATACAACAAATTTGGCTGCTCACCTTCAGGCGAGACAATGAAGGGTATGAGTTTCTGCAAAACAAATCCATTCTAATAAAGAAGGCAGCAGTACTGCTGTATAATGCGAGTCTGTGAGTAAAGCAAGGGTTTGGTAACAAAAGAAAATTTAGCGATGACATTGAGAAAGCAAAATATATTTCTCGAAAAAATTTTATTAGTTTATCACACTTGTTGATCAGCCCTTCTCTGTTATAAATGTGATAAATATATAAGATTATAAACAATTATAAAACATAGTATTCTGGGACTGTTGTATGCCAGAGTTGATGTTTTCTTACCAAAAATAAATACTTTTTCATATTTTTGGAATGTAATTAATTCATTTTTTTATCTATTTGGGTGGAGTGTCCCTTTAAACTTATTTAAGCAGAACTTCCCAAACAACTGGTACTCGTATCAGTTTGAAATAATGGGATATTGGTATCGGTCAGAGATTTCCTTATTAGCGCATCACTAGTTTTCAGCTCAAAAAAACAAGCTGAATGAGCAGAAAGGAGATGACTAGGATGGCAAGAGGGTGGAAGATTTCTGGTAAATTACCAAAATGTTTCCATGGAAATTTTGGGTGTTTACAATGCATTATCAACTGGTGGTCATTTTGGACAATACTACATTTTGTTATTGTTTTAAATGTAAAATTAAACTGTAAAAGTAGATAAACAATGTTCAGAAAATTAATAAGCTGCCCCTCAAGTAATCCATCAAAGAAGCTGATGGTTGCACTAAAATAATTTAGCTAGCTAGCCATGTTGCTAGCCTGTTGTTGTCACTGATGTTTTAGAATACGACTGATGTGTGGAATTTGGTAAAGAAAATAGTTCCTACATTAAACTGCTCACTACAAAGTCTGTGAGTTATACTCAATAACTGGGTCATGATTTCTGGTAAGAGACTTTGCTGTTGAATTTTTCTAATGTATGTTTTGGCACTTTATACACCACAGAAAGAATGCCATTATATTTGAGAGAATACCGACATTTCTACTGCAGATATCTCCAAAACTAGGCATCTCCCAGCAGAACAACCTAGATGGCTCTACAGCCCTAAAGCCTCTCTTTTTTCCTTTTTTTTTTGAGTTTTGGGTTTTACTCAGGTTCCTACATTTTGTGTGGTTTATATTTATATGGTCTATTAAAATGTTTTTGGTATTAAATTTTGTAATCAACACACATACTAGTGTATCTTCATAGATAAGCTTTCCAAATATTGTATTTCTACACTTTAAAAAGAAGGAAGTAGAATCTGTTGCTAATGGAGTCCATGCTTAGTCTTTATTCACTATTTATTTACACTATCTTTACTCAAAGCTCGTCTACGTTAGTAAGTGCCACTTTTGTATGATTCTATGCTAAGCACTTTGAAGCAGCCATTTTGAGAGAGATGCTATATGAAAGTAAACTGAATCGAACTGAATAAAGACTGGGTCCGATATATGATGTGCAATTCATCGATAAAGCAAAGTTTACCTCGTAGAAGCTCTGCACTGCATTGATGAAGGCTTCATCCGCCACAATCTGCGTCTCTCCATTCAGGAAGGCCTGGAAACGATCTTTCACCGTCTGGAGCTGCTGCTTGGTTATCTGCGGAAGAGACAGGAGTCCCACACTCTGAACAAAGAAGGCTGTCATTCGTATAGGCGGTGGGCAGACATGCCAACATCCATCATTTCTAACAGTCTTCAGTATATTGAGACCAGTAGGTACGGCACAGGTTCTGGTATAGTTTCCAGCCTACAAACTGCAGGAAAAAGCATCAGTTACGCAACTAAAGCACATGATGCCAGTGAAACAAAAAAGCAAAAGACAAATAAGTCGAATGTGACTCAAGTGGGACATGATCCATGCATTAAGATCATAAGAGGATAGAGAAGCACAACCCTGATGATGACTTTGATTTGAAAATTCAAGACCACGCAAGGAAAGTACCCAACAAGCTACTTTAATCAGAAGTATTTAGTACTATTTTAAAGGTTATTTTTGGTTATTAGTGTAGGTGAGCCACAGCTACTAATTCACTGAGACCACCACAAAATAAAATTCTACCGTTGTTTAAATACCCATAAATTTGGATTAGCGTGATGGGCTGGGAGGCTGTTCATTTACAGAACCCCCTTGTGTGCTCATCTTGTAGGGAGATAAAGGTCTTTCCAATGTCAGGAAGGGCTACACATGCTATTTTTAGGTTTGCGTGAGTGCAGCATGACTGACAATAGCTAGTCAAATTCTGCACAAAAATCTTCTGCTTTCTAAAGGACTAATAAATTCCTTTCTTACTCGCATTTACATGCAGCGTTATTTTTTCATCTGCCAAGAATGCATCAATTTCTAAGACTAGACCAAATGCGAGGGTGGGTGTTTGAGGCACCCAGTAAACCTGATTATAGCAGTAATTGTTTAATGCGATGCTGCATTATCCTGAATAATGGCAGATTTTACACCTGTCCCACCTCAGCAGAACATGACTGATGGATGAGTTCAAGTCCCTGTTACCATGGTGACATGACACGTGTCACCGGGATGTTTTTGTATTAACCTTAATATTCCTCTGTCATTCCTGTCACAGGGGAAGTGGCAGCTGTGGTACAGGAAATGGTTAGAGCAGCTTACCGAGAACAGGCACTATGACATTTTGTTAAGTTTGAAGGTTTGTAAATTGTTTACAAATGTGGTTTAAATCAGTAAAATAGTTAGACATACAGCACTTATGTTTGTATCCTGTTATTAAAGATATCTTGACTACAATTGTGTGTTGTGTTGTCTGCTACTTATATACCAATAAATAATGTATAACTAATACAAAACTAACAACAGAGCTGAAGCTATGATGTTTCTCCTTGAAGTCACAGCACTAGCAGAGGGAAAGCGAATGTAGTTAGAAAACTATGCCAACAGTTTAGAGGCTGTTCTGTAGATATGTAGACAATACTTGTGTTTTCTATGCACTTCTTCAGAAGAGTGACGATTTTTGACATTTATAGTCTGCATTATTAATTGGAGAGCATTTTATATTAATAGAATATACTTTGCATACTTTGCGAGTTCTTAATGCATTATTTTAATACTGCTGCTTCAATACACCTAAATTTTAAGACGTTTTCTTTAAACTGAACGGTTTGTAATAAACAGCCAGTTTTGTCAAATCAGCTGGGAATATTTTATATGCAAATTTCTGGTCAGGACCAGAAACACAATTCAAAAATGAATATTTCCAAAAATAAACTACTGAGTCCATCAGTAAAGATATAAGATGTTTCTGAAAAACCTCTTTGGGATGCGGATAGATCCAAAGGGAAAGGAGATATCGGAAATCACAGGATGCCAAAGGGTTTGTGAAGCGAACAGACACACAAAAATAACCCTATTTTCAACTCAAACACACAGACTAGGAACTTTTGATAAGCTATTGATTACAGATGGATGGAGGAGCCTGTCTCGCACAGACATCCACAGCCATCCTGAATCGTGTGTTACTTAATTTCCATCTGTCTGCTGGTAAGACTTTTTATATTACTCAATGAGACTCTGACCTCATCTGATCATCACTGTAATTAAAAATATTCAATTCTGATTGGATTTTGACAGATCTGACACAATAAGACTGTCATCAAACAGAAGAAGGATATTAACCTTGTCAGAAACAAAAAAACGTCATTAATGATATACAATATTATATTAGTACACAATACTGGGGTGGCATGACAGCTAAGACTGTAGCCTGTGTGTGGAATTTGTTCCCTACATGTTTTCTCCCCATGTTTTTTTCCACGGTTGGAACAGCAAGCAGTTAGATTAACTGATGTCAGGACAGTGCCCACAAGGTGACTGTGTATGCGGCAGACTGTCACCATGTTTCCCCAAACGTCCATTCTTTTGAGCAGGTAGCACAACTGGCTCAGATGATATTTCATGGGAGTCTGGATGCTCATGGACTTAGATTTGAGCAGAAGTTTGGAAGACGGGTAAACAGAAACAAATTCAACGAAGAAAATCCAGCCTTAATCTTTGGCGACATCCCAGCTCTCCCGGAAGGTCCCGGAGTCTCCGGCAAATTGACGGCGGCTCTCTGACACCCACCAGTGATGTGCAATGTCCTGGAAATCTGTTGTTCCGGCAAGTTCTACCGCCGCAATCCCACCCCACCCAGTCGGCAAATTTCACTGCCAGCAACACCCCCTCCCCAGTCTGCACATTTTATTGCTAGCACCCCAACACCCCCTGCCCCCCCCACACACACAGACACACTCAGGCAGTATCTAATTTTTAATACCATCCAGGCATTAAACTGTGGTATACAGTATTTTGAAAAGCAATGACATGCTGGTATTTCCCAATAAAATCTGCCACACAGGGGTGGTGGGGGGGGGATAGGGGGCCGGGTAATTACCGTAATACTACCCCCCCAGTTCCAGTTGTCCCTCACCTCCCTGAAATCAATATGCCTAAGGGGACGTCTGTCATAGCACAAAAATAAATTGTGGGTTTCACCAACCGACCCTTTAATGTTCAACCGAATGTCTGCAACAGGCCAAGGACTCAGTAGAAAATGTACTCAACACATCCAGAAAGAAATGGCAAAATGAATGAAAGCTCTATTCACACGTCGGGCTGTGGGGCAGCCGTAGCCTGCGAATGAGCCACCATGTTCCTGCTGTTGATTGCTCATGAAAAAATTAAGCTTCCAGAATAATCAGCTGTTACACCATGACAGGACATTTTATGAATAAAACATGCCTCAGAATGCAGAGGATTCAGTTCTTTTGTGCCATTTATGCTTCCTTGTTAAATCTGCTAACATCAGCCGCAACAACAAAAAAGATCATGTTTAAAAGCAAAAGTGTTAAGCGCTCTTGGTGACATTGCAGCGCTGGATTATAGTATATGAAAAGGTCATGACAGCATAATACATTTCTGCCATGTTTATAGTAATACCAAGAAAAGAAAAACCCACAAAATGTTCAATGACATACCACAGCTTAAATACTAGGTTCAAAAGCTATAAAAATATTGAAAAGATGCTGCTTTAAGATATCTTGACTTGCCTGCCATTTATCGCTTCTCCATTTATTGACGTAGACTGTTGTGCACTGCTTGCTAAATATAGTAACCGTGCTAATCTAAACGGACCAGCGTGACTGCTATCTTTACACAACGCATTGCACTAAGACTTCAAATCCAGCCGCCATCTTGATATTACATAGTCATTTGCTGCTGTCACTGTTGAGGTCATGCTTACATAATTTGTTGCAGATGACAGACTGGTGCTTTGGGAAGCTAACCCACCATTTCAGGAGGACGTCCCCCTCCAAGGGTTATTGCAACAGGCAACTGCAGTTTAACAAGGGTAGGAGCCATATGGCAAAATGACCTTCAGTAGGGTTTTGGAACTGGGTCTGATCAGGCAAATGAACTGGTGCCCACAAACAGCAGAAGCAGCCACACTGTAGCACCATGGTCTCCAGAACTCCAAAGCAATGTCATGTGACTCAGGTGGGCTCACAAACAAACACAGGGGTAACGCAAAGCTAGATTGACTGCGCCTTCTGATGTGCTGTTGAAGGAAACAGGCTTGGGGGAGACATTCTACAAGACTATTGCGACTTATTGCTAATTCTAGGTCTGATATTATCAAAGTCAAAGTCAGCTTTATTGTCAATTTCTTCGCATGTACTAGACATACAAAGGAATCGAAATTACGTTTCTCACTTCCCATTACTCCTTCCTGAGTGATACATCCAATCCACTAATTTTCTCTGAAAACATTTAGCTACAAAGACATGTTAGTGAACGCGAAGGCACGTTGTCCAGAATACACAACAGGTGCAAATTAAAACAGGCCCAGAATCAGACTCCCCCAAAAGACCTGGTGCTCATATTAATACCACCATTTAATGTGGTGCTGAAGGCCCAGCATGCAAACTATTGCTAGATATTTTTCCATGATTATTGTCTCTTATTTGTGTGAACAGCTTATGACTTCAATTTAGGCTGTGCTTAAAAGTCACTGTCATCCATTATGACAGTGACTGTTAACCCAATCCCACTGGAAGCAACACCAAGTCTTATACATTCATTAAAAAACACAAAGCTTTCTCCACACATTTCATTTAATTTCCCCTGCAAAACTGGTATTATCATTCTAATGAGGAGCATCATATTAAAACGCAGGCTAATTATTTGTAATCATCTCATACTAACAACGGCAGGTAAACAAATTATGTCTCAAGCCTGTTTTAGCATGCGAGACACACACACACACACACACTTCCACGCTAAGTTGTCTTTTCTAGCAGCTCTGAGGCAGAAAAAAGCAATGAACTTTAGAGCAGCTTTGGGATTCCTGGGACTTCTGATGCACAGAGGATGCTAGCACCCAGGCAGGGGGTCGAGCTGTGACGGCCTTAAAGTGGAAACAGCACCGCTGAAGGGAGGTGATTCAGCCTCGTCTGGGTACATTCACTGGATTGGTCCCCCTTCGTCCCCCTGGGCCGCAGAAGCTTCCAGAAGAGAAACTGTCATGTTGGAATGACACTACATTTTAGAAGCATTCTTTAGACTTGTTCACATTTCTGATGGGCGTGTCA